AAGGCAACATATTTTAAAAGATAAATTCAATATTCAATCCATCTCAGATAATGGAAATAAATGACAAAAATTGGCAATGGACCCTGGGGCTTCTCATGATGATCTACTCCAGGTAGTCTCCCAGGTTCTTTTATAACTGAGACTGAAAGGAAACTTTGAGGAACCAGCTAAAGGAGAAAAAGAGAGGCAAGAGATGGGTGCAATTATTGGCTGCAGTTCTTAGAGGGCACCCATTTCCTCTTGCATGGGACCTTGGTGACCCTAAAGATGTCTGTCATCATTGCAGAAAATCAAGACACTGGAAGAAAAATTGTAGAATTAAGGGCAGGCTTCCAAAGACTCCTTGCCATATATTTGACAGGAGTCTTCTGGAAAGCTGATTTCCCTGAGGACAAAAGGGGCCTCACAGATCAGATATTCTCCAAATGATGGCCTAAGAATAAGGATACCTTCAGAATCAGGTAGTGCCCCCAAACAGTCAACATCAGTGGGGCAGAACTGAGGGTAAAATTGGAGGTAAGAAATGGGGCCATTCACTTACTTTTGGATACCAACCCTACCTATATAGTGTTTTAACCTCTTTCCCCAAACACCTTTCTGCTTATTCCTGCTTGGTATTGGAAATCAGTGAAATACCCAAGGTAAGACATTTTACTCATCTTTGTTGCAGCTGGGAAGATAGAATAGTCACTCATTCTTTTTTGGTAATGACTGAATATCCCACTCCAATATTGGGTCATGATATCTTCACCAACTTAGAAACTTGTCTAAGTTTTTCACTCAAGGCACTGTGTTCTTTTTTTTTTTGGTGTTTTCAGTAGTTGAACAATCAGAACAATCGATTGACACAACCCTGTTGGGTTTCTCCCTACAAGGGAATGACTAGATAAATGATAATCTTTAATGATAGAACAAAAGGAGGAAACATATGCATTACAAACCACTACTCATGCAGATTTTAAATTATGGCCTGAAATAAGATTTTGTCACACCCAAGTCATGGAAAAAGCTTCACTTTCTAAACCAATTTCCAAGCTTTTGCAATCATTAAAGCCCATTTGAGCCAATCCACTATCAATGTCAGAATATCAAAGATATAAGGATGGTTACTATCAAATTTGGGATGATAATATATGGCTTATGCACACCATAGGACAAAATAAGAAGGCCCCAATCTGTTGGAAAGAATGCAATCACACTTACAAATGGCTAATTCCACATAAGAGTTAGGATGAACACCAGAATCTCAATGTCAACATAGTGTGATTTTACAGGCTGATGATTGGTTTGGGACTAACTGGTTCCTCAGTCCTGGAATTAGATGGCCAGCACCCAGTTGGACCATTGGATATGTGGTACAAACTCATGGCCCTAGATTCCTCCACGCTGGATGGGAAGATGTACTATTGGGTATTAAAGGATGCAAGGGAGGTGGGCCCCCCAAATAGGATAACCTACAAACCTCCCCAATCTCAAGCATAGACGGGGATGGTCTGTTTCTCATTGGAATGATCATTTAGCTTCACTGTTTATCTCACAAATTGGTCTAGAGAATGTAATCTGACCATTTATACCCATGCAGCTCTCCATGACACTGAGAAAGGTGGCATTCGTAAGAAAAGCTGTTTTACAAAACTGAGTGGCCTTGGATGTTCTCACAGTAGCTCAGGGTGGTACTTGTGCCATTATTCAGAGAGAATGTTGTGTTTATATTCCCGACAACTCTGAACTCAAGTCCTCAAAGATTTGCACTTTCAAATAGATCCTGTGTCCTTCCTGGCCTTGTCATAAGGACAACTTTTAGTTCATGGTTTTATGGAACTTCCTTGTGGAGGAAATTGCTAGTATCTATAGTCATTCTCAAACTCATTGGTATATATGGACATTGCTGTGTCTATTTTTTTCTATCAATCTTATTCTAATACTTAGGGGTTTTTTTGTTTTTCTTGTAGGGCATCCGCCTCCCAAATTGTTTACAATCTGTTTCTACTAAATCAGAGATTTACTGTGGTTTCCTGGATAAGTCTTACTCATAATCCAGACCATTTCACTGACAGAGAATATTTGGGATACCTACCCTGTAGGCCTCTGCCCCTATTCAGCAGAAAGTAGCCAATGATCTGACTTCATTGCCCCTATTCCTAAAGTGAATTAGGGTCTCCAATCCTTGAGAGGGGGAAATCTTAAGTAGTAGTTACTAATAAACAGTGAAATGCAAGGTCATGGTTTTTCTTTAAATTACTTTTAAGGCAAATGGGTCATCATATAACTTGTAAAAAATAAAAATCAGGTGTACAGACATGTACATTTAAAAGTGGCCAATTTCATGCCACTTTTAAACTTTTTATTTCTAGTAACAAAAAGGACATAGTCAATAAAAATATAAGTTGTATGTTTGTGTCTATGTCTGTATATTTCAAAGAAAGGATTCCATCAAACTGATGACAACGGTTATTTATGGGGAAGACAGTGGCTTTGGAGAGGTGTATAAAGATAACTTTCATCCTTACTTTAGGTACTCCTCAAATGTTTTGCTGTTCTTATATTGAGTGTATATTGTTTTATATTACTTATATATTATTGAGTGTATATTGTTTATATTGTATATTATGTGTGAAATAGAAAAGCGTTAGTTTTTTTTTTTAGAAGAATTCCTAGTCTCAGATATACAAACCAAGAACTTCAAGGAATTTTTAGGAATGTCCAAGAAAGGGAAAGAATTAAAATTTGTCTCAAATTCACATGAGCTTGTAGTTATTTTTAAAGATTTTACCAGAGTAAGAAAATGACTGTATCTAAGACTATTTGAGAGTAAAAGGGAAAAGAATTGAAAAAAACAGAAACCCGTGTAATTTTTTTTATAAATCATATAAACTTCCCAAGTAAAAGATTTACTATTTAAAAATCAATCAATTCATAAGCATAAGATTTGAAAACATTGTGGCTAAAACCAGTAAAGCTATTAAAAGATTTAATTCTTTAAGGATCAAGTAAGTGTTAGCCATAAAACAAAATGAAAGAACATCTGGAAGGCAAAGAGGTTGAAAGATTGGAAATTAAAAAGCAAATTGTATGCTTAGTGCTACTGAGGGACTTCAGCAAATGGATATGAACCCATTTGAAAATAAATACAGAGTTTGTGTAATTACAATGAGCCGAAGATGGATTTAGCATTTATATATCTCCTGGGAAGCTTTGTGAGTTAGCAACATAAAACCAAAGTACCGTGAGGTTATTAAAATATTACTTCCTGTTGTATCATAGAACCTGAGAAGAGAATAAACATACCGATTACTTGTGTGGCTGGTTCCACATCAGTTGTGGCCTCTTCCAACAAGGACAGCAGCTTGGCTGATATCTGATGCACAGATTCAATGTTGCTAAACAAACTCTCCACATCCAGCCTGTCAATCTGAAGAAACACAAATATTGAGTACCAGCTGATGGAAAGAAGAGCCTTCTATGTAGGCTGCTTTCTCCTATAAACAGTAAGCATTAGATTTGCCAGTACATGCTGCCTTATTAACCATTTCTGTAAACAGTTTGGATTCAGAATTTCTAGAATAGATGTGCAGTTTTTCATTCTGGAAATTGAGATGGTGCTCTGTTATTTTTGTCTTTAAGTATGTAGAATTGAGAGTACAGCTACATAGCCTGATAAAAACCAGAATGGGAAGAAGATTTAGTCCTAACTGGTATTCTTAATTAATGCCCTTTAGGAAGATATATACCAGTGTGTATAAATTTAGAATATTTTGCTGCTTTCAAAACAGAAGACAAATCTTACCCTTGTCAACTATGTTCAGAGCTATTTTTAAACCATACATATTCTAAAAGTGATGACAAATAGATGGGCTGGATTGCTTCTGGTTCTTTTCCTTAGAAATAAATGTGAATGGAAATATTCACCAAACATATACCATTTAAGGATTTTATCATATTTGTAATTTCACGTACACCCTCAAAATCATTCTTTCGATCAGTGTAATATTCCTAGATCTTACAGACAGTGCTTATAATCATGGATAATTATTAATTTATCCATTCTTTCATCAAACATTTCCCGAGCATCTTCTAGTTACTGAGAATTGGAATAGAAGGCAGACTCTGTCAAAGGAAGCAGCTGATTAGTAGTGGGACAGCCAACTATCCTGTGCCATTTCAGTGTGGTGAGATATATGCCCTGATTTTGGTGGATCTGATTCAGAATTCATCCCTTGAGTCAGACCTCCTTCCATGGTCAAATAGTGCTTATTCAGGGCATCTCTGCACTGGTGCAGGCTCCACCAGGGCACAGCAGGGAACAGGAGTGGGTACCATTTACCCATAACTTATTGTTCCTGAGGTCATCAGTGAACAACTTAGTCATCAATAATCGGGGAGTTCAGGTAAGGAAAAGGGGCTGATGAACTAAGGGAAATTAGGAACAAGATGTATAAGATAAAATCAAGACCTGGAGGAATTCTGGAGCTAAAGACCAACGTCTTCAATCTCTTTCCCATGCTTTCAGAATAACTTTCTTAGATATGCTAGGTCTACTTGAGGGGAAAAAGTGTGAGAAATATGCTTACCTGTGAGAAACACACTCACTTAACCCAAACCCAAAGAATGGGCTCTGAGACACAAGGTACAGCAAAAAAAAATTAAATTAAATTAAAAAAAAGTGAAACTTTAATGACAATCTTGCAAGATCAGGTTTCCTGGTGGTCAGGGGCCCTCAGAATGGTTACAATCAGCATTTTATCCCTAGTGCTAAAACATTCGCCCCCCCCCACTCCCTGATTCCTCATTGGCTCAGTATTATGGGATACATAGTCTTCCCAAAAGTCACTAGACTTTACTATATCCTATTGGGTTATTTAAAGAAATAAAGCTTTAGTTTTCCCCATCTCCCTTTGTTCTCTTGTGGTGGGAAGTTCTTCTGAGGGTGAATTTTGACATGTACACAGATCTTACTTCTTTAAGTAAGAATTGTTTCTTAACCGACAATTCCTATCTCTATTGGTCCATTATCCCACCTCCTGTTTGCCAAGGGGCTGTTCAGGCGTGTGGACTTTGGATCTGCTGCATCCATAGGCTATGGTGCTATTGTGTGAGTTAACTGCTTGTAACTTTCCATTCAGTTCTATTTCCCCTATTGCTTGTCGGAGACCAGCTCCAACAGGGGGTCTCAGGAGA